GATGTTAGGAAGTATTTCTTCATAGTTATCAGGAAGTGGAACAGTCTGGAAAGGAACGTAGTGGAGGCAGGGACCATACACAGTTTTAAGACGAGGTTTGATAAAGCACATGAAGCAGGGAGAGAGAGGATCTAGTAGCGATCAGTGAAGAGGCGGGGAAACGAGCTAAGAATTGACCCCCGCAACCACAAATGTGAGTACACAAAATAAATCACCAAGATATGGAAAAACTAGCAAAAGACTCGCTGTTGCCAGTGCTTCGCCAGGAGCTATGCATTACTGAAGTAGGCAGATATCTAGTGTGGAAAAATCCTCGAGGTAAGTAGGTATAATAAGTTACGTCTCCCCTCTTTACTTCTGAAAGTTTTCTCCTCCATCTGCTTGTTCCAAGATTGTATATAGCTCCTGACAAAGCACTGGCAATAGTGCAAAAGGCCTTGAGCGTTTTTCTAATCCATATATATATATATATATATATATATATATATATATATATTATATATATATATATATATATGTATATATATATATATATATATAATATATATATATATATATATATATATATATATATATATATATATATATGCGTGTACATGGATGTGTAGTGTTATCCCGCGCGTTTATGAGAAAAAAAAAAAACAATCATATCATTATGCAAAACAATTACAAGTTTTTGCTTCACACTCGCTTGGTAGGACGGTAGTACCTCCCTGGATGGTTGCTGTCTACCAACCTTTCTTTTTTGAAGCCTCATTAAGCGCTTTGAAGAAGGATGGGGGAATCAGACCCATTGCTGTTGGTAACACTCTTCGCCGTCTTGTTGCCAAAGCAGCATTAAGAAACATTCGCCTAGAAGCTGCCAGTTTACTCCAGCCATACCAAGTGGGCTTTGGGGTCTCTCAAGGCAGTGAAGCCGCAGCTCTTGCGGCAAGGGCCTACATCAGGGACCTACGAGAAGACAAGACCGTAGTCAAACTCGACTTTAGAAATGCCTTTAATATGGTGAAAAGGGATGTGGTCTTACCGGCCGTTCGAGATCGGTTCCCCAGTCTTTTTCCCTTAATTTCAGCTCCCTTCAGCAAACTCAATTCTTTTGTCTGGCGAACATGAAATTCCCTCATCAGAGGGTGTTCAGCAAGGTGATTACTCGCTCCACTTCTCTTCTGCTTGACAGTGAGAGAACTAACTCCCAGCCTACGCAGCGAGTTCAACAACTGGTACCTGGAGAATGGCACACTGGCAGGTACTGAAAAATCCCTGCTAGAGAAGTACAACTGGTGAAGACACAGGGAGAAGCCTTGGGACTCATCCTCAATCCCTCCAAGTGTGAAATCATCACAGCGAACCGGGAAATAATCAGAGCTGTGCAAACAATCCTCCCTGAAGTCTCTATTATAATCACTCCACCAAACAGCACCCTCTTGGGAGCACCGCTGGGTCATCAGGCCATCGACACGGTCCTCAAGGACAAACTGAATGACCTGAAGAGAATGAATTAATGAATAAGCGATCTTTATGCCCACGATGCCCTATAATCTCCTCGCAAGATGTCTTACTCTGCCGAGACTCACATGCTTCCTGAGGTGCCCACCCTCTTTTGAGAGCCCAACACTCGACGAATATGACTCACTCCTGAGCTCAATCTTTAAGGCACTGAATCTGTCGCTGGAAGATCAGAAATTGGATCAGGTAACCCTCCCACTGCGACTGGGAGGTATAGCGGTTCGCAAAGCAACGCAGGTAGCTTTACCTACATTTCTGTCTTCGTGTTTGGCTTCCAGTGGTTTAGTCAAGGAGACTGTACCGGGACGCTTGAGAGACGCGGTAGGAGCTAAAGACCCCAGGTTCATTGAAACAGCCGTGCGGTGAGACATCCTTGCAGACTCTTCCAGTAGACCAGCTCCTCCCAAAGAGAACAGTCCCACTGAAACAAACCGATCATCGAAAAATTCGCCAACACAATGCTCACCAACGCTTCAGGAAAGGACAAAACTCGTCTCCTAGAGGTGAGGGCACCACATTCAGATTTCCTTCTAGCTGTTCCCAATTCCTCCCTGGGCATTCGACTCGACCCACAGGCCATTCGGATTGTTGTTGTTCTTCGCCTAGCCGCCTCCATACTCACCGAACAGGTGTATTTGCGGCAGGGCGACGGCTGATCAATTCGGACTTAATGGTCTCGTGTGTCACACATCAGAAGGTAAGTATGCTAGACATGAGGTCAACATCATAAAGAGAAGCCTCGCCACAGCCCGTTGCCCAGCTCAACGGGAACCTCAAGTACTGAGGTCTGACGGAAGTCAAAAGCATCCTGATGGAGCCACTATGCTACCCTGGAAGGATGGTAAGCAGACTGCCTGGGACTACACCTGTGCCGCCACATTGGCAGACACCTACTTGTCATACTCCGTAGCTAAAGGGGGTGGAGCTGCCAACCACAGGGAGACCCAGAAGACCCGCAAATATGAAGGCCTTCCCCCTTGCTACAACTTCATCCCAATAGGGTCGGAGACCCTTGGAGCATGGGGCAAGTGTGCTCTCAAGTTCCTCAAAAAGCTGGCTGAAAAACTCATCATAGAAACCAAGGACCACAGGGCGGCCAGCTTCCTCTTTCAGAGAGTCAGTGTTGCGATCCTGAGGGGAAATGCCTGCAGCATTCTGGGCACGCGGTCCACCGCTGGGGAGCTGGACGAAGTATTCGAGATGTAGCTTTGACATGTTATCTTTGTTGTTCTACTTCCTATTGTATTTTGTCTTTAAGTAGTCTACGTAGAAGATAGAATATAGGGTGGTAGGAGAAGACAATATTCAAATAGCTTCGGGGAGAACCTTCAGTTTTCCCCCAAGAAGTTTATTATTTTCTCTGAGGATGAGGGTCCCCAGTCCAGTTCCCGAGGTTTTACTTCCCTATATATATATGTGTGTGTGTGTATGTGTGTGTGTGTGTGTGTGTTACACATACACTACATACACCTAAATCATGTATAGCTTTAAGTATATACATATAATTTGTACAGCATGTATTCGCATACAACAGAAGTGTTACTAGGCTGCTAACTAGGTAGTGCTGGCAAATTCAGAGTGGACAATGAGGATATCCTCAAGCATCCCATAGTAGAAGGAAGTAGTTACACAGTTCCAAGTACACCATTCCACCAAGCCTTAAGTCACTGACAACCGAACACTTGACCATGTAATGATAAAGGTTGTGTGCCTACTTTTTCAGAACTTACATAAGGAACTGGCCAAGTTGGGAGGTTCATCTGTGGTAACTGCATTCATATACCACAGGTAATTGTATCCCAATCCGATTCTAGCAGTCACCGTGTCACGTATTCTAATGGGCGTTTTATGCTTCTCAAACACCTAGTAGGAGGAGGGTGGGGGCGAAGGGGGAGCAATGAGGGAGGTCATGACTGAGGGAGGGAGCAGACGGCCGGTAGGGGTAAGTGGGCGGAACAGTTTGCACACACGCGCGCACATACACACTTAAATTAAGACTGTTTTGGTCAGCACCCAAAGCCGCGTGAACATTGAACTTACGTGGAATGCATACTTCATGCTAATTATAATACAAGATCATTTGTGAAGCAATTCATGAGAACATAACTATTATAAACCATTGTCAATTATTCATATTAACTGTTGATTACATGATAAATGCAGATAAGCTCACAGCTTTACGCATTCTGTTGCAGGGGTAGGGGGGCACTCTGGAGACGCCTAACTTAATTGCTCTGGGTCAACAAGGTGTCTTAATGTCAGTCTCTGTATTTCCTCGTCAAAATTCAATTTGGAACTAATCTATGAACGTTAAAGGCACTGGCAATATGAAAATAAACGAATTATAAATTAATATAATTTCAGCTGGGGTGGGATTATGAATCACTCAAATATGATGGCTAGACATGACCAGGACAAGACACTCCTGAAGAGCAGCATTGTCGTATCTGGTGATAGCTTCAGTTCTTGGTGTAATAATGATTTTTGTAAACTAAGCTCTTCATTTTAATTATAAATGTAAAAAAAAATATAACTTCACTATCTCTTTAAAATAAACTGAGAATGAGTCGCTAAAATCTTATACTGTATCTGATTATAAGCTAACATTATGAAACACTGTCCAACTATTTCTGATTTTATTATTATTATGATTAGGGGGAAACGCTAAACCCGTAGGATTACACAGGGCCTGTGGGGGATGAAAGGTTTTTCAGGCTTAATTCAGGGAACTGGAGCACAGATCCCGTTCCCTAGATCAAGAGCCCCTCACCAGCATCAAGGAACCTTCCTTGAGGGGCTACTTCTGATTTAAAAATATAAATAAAAATCCTGACTTACATCCTAATAAGAAATGAACTACATTGTAAAATGTTCCTACTATACAATAGTAAATAACAAACCACTATTAAATATCAGTCATAATGTCAAACATAACTAAACATTACTCACAATATCAGTAAATATGTTAAGGGGGAGACGATTTCCGAGACAATATTTGAAGCAGGGAAGTTCTGACCGTGTTAGCTGAAGTAATTCAAATGTCAAGGAAGATCAACTTAAACACGACACTTCAACACAAAATATAGAACATCATACACTGACAAACATTTGATAACTAGTAATCACTTGGGATGACTTGACGTAAAAGATCAGATCAATACGACACTGTACCAATATCAAAATAACAGGTGTACACATCCCAAATCACGGATGCGTAAACATTTTATGGCTGTAAAGGGAGCAGAAAAAAAAAAACATTAATCTACGCTTTAAATCGAGGAAATGTAGAGTATAGTGGGCGGGACACTGCTGCTACCCGCAGCCTCCGCCCTTCGCATCACTCAACTCATCCCCTAACCCTCCTCAACCCAGCAGCAATATTTCCGTCTATCACAAACCTGCAGAGCCAACTGGTGTTAGCGGGTGTGCAGGAGGCAGCCACACACGCACACACACACACGGGAGGGGGGGAACGCATGCGCTCATCTACCTACCTCTCCTCGAAGGCTTCCAGCAGACGCACGTCCAAGATGTTTTCAATCGGCTCCCATGTGTTGTGTCTGGAACGTGAGACGGAGGTTAGTCCAGTGTCCACACGCTTATGGGGTATCTAGCACTCATATTTATCAAACAGACTCTTGCTTGCTACTTACTTGTTAGACCAGCCCTTCCATTTCACCAAATACTCCACACGTCCCTGCAACGGAAAACCAAAACAAATGAGTCGAGTAGCTAAGTACTGCGTTATTTTTCACTTTTCATGCGTAGTTTCAAGAGATTTAATTAATTTGAACAACACGTACCCTCCTCACTCTTTTCTTCTGTATACATTCTGCTGCATAAACCCTATCACCCACTAGAGAAAGCTCCATGATGTATCACTCGGAGATGAACGTGTATGCCCTCTCCCCACCACAGTTTCACTCAGACTGAGCTGTATTCTGGCGCCTTCGCCGCAAACCGCTCGAGTACTACGTCACGCCAGGCTAGCCAACACTGCAAAACCATCGGGCGTATTTTGGTTTCTGAATCTTTACCACTAATTTAGATATACATGTATTTTGTTGAATTATATACGCTTAATTTACATTCTAAACTTTTGTCCCAGCAATTTTATTGTTGCGTGGTTATATAATAGGTATTAGTGGGTGATGTAGTTGTACGACATTTTTCCTCTGGTCAAGTCCCGTACCTTCATGAAGGATCTTCCAACTCGGAAGTAAAGGACCTTATCACACCACACTTTGTTTATATCACATTCTTCCCGTGTCTCTTAGACATTAATCTTATTCTCCCTTCAGATCAACCTATAGAATTGCATGGCTACGCTCATCTTCCTTCTTCTGGGATATTGTACGCCGCGTGGAGGCAGGAAGCGTTAGCAGCCGATGAAATATCAGATAAAACGTTTTTTCAAGGTATAAAGAGGGAAGTAAGGGAGAGAGAAGGTGAGACTCGTTATACTGGAGCCCTGAGGTGGATGCTGGACCTCCTTACATGACAACTCATACTGTTAGTTCTTTATACGCATGCATTATGGGACTCGCAGACAAAAATCATTTAAAATAATGGTTACAATACTGCATATAATGTGGTTTATTGTGAATTACAAATAGTCATAAATATACAAAAGAAACAACAATAATGACATTTTATCTAGGATATTCGTACAAAATTGCAAAAAGTTTTTGAGTCCACTGGACAGCCTCCAATGTTTCATTGCGGAATCTGGATTGGTTGGCAGATTGATCTTGGTTGGTCAGACAACTGACGAAGAACGCTGCACTCAGTAAATACCAAAGTAAGCATAGCAATGTTCAGAAACACAAGTTAGAAATAAATTCTAGCCTATTAAAAATTAAAGCAGCGTCACATCCATGAATATCGCTCGTGCTAAATTAGTTATGTTATATAATAGTTCGTGTTTTAAAACCTCATAGATCCATATTAAACTGACAACTATTACTACAAGAGTTAACTCTACAATGGGAGTATCTCGATGCTGGTGAAGAGCTCCTGATCCAAGGAATTAAAGTTACCCTCTTTTTCGAATATAATAATTCAGGAGTATCAATACTGCACACGTGCACCGCGTCTTATATTCTTTATAATACATTAATATATACATAAAATATCCAAAATGAATATCTGCAGACTATATGAATAATACTATTAACCTTGCATTAGTATCAACCTGGCATTTTCCAAAAATTATGTAATGAAACAGCAAGCAATAATGAAAACCATTTAACATTATCCGCAGAGAGTACAACGTTGTACCATAGACTGTTCCACCATCTGTGTCTCTGTATTCACATTTGTCAACAACACCACGTGTCACCTGTGTCTGTATTCACGCTTGACAAGAATACTGTCTAATTATGAATATGGTATAAAATACCGACAAGAAGATGAGTAAGATACGTGCAGCAGCTAGATATCTTTACTGTCGAAATATTTCAACAATGAAGATACCAAGCTGTCGCACATAAACCACATGTCAGCTAACCTTCTATTGTGGCTAAAAGTTGGTAGAAAATACCAGCAATGTCTGTTTCGTGAACAAGATGCGGCGAACAATTCCCTGGGTAAAATATCCTAGCACTGTACATGTGTCATATTTCCAAATATCCTCTTGTGTAGCATGTAAATTAAAACCTGTGTGTTTGTAGCACAAGACAGAGGCTGTGTTGCGTCATTGTAATGGTGAATTTGTACGTGTTGACTGATACCTCATTTTAATACATGAACAGTGAGCCTTGAAGGGAGGCGGCATGATGTCCCTGAGGGGAACATTGAAGGAAGTGCACCTTTTCTCTCCTTAAAGCGAATCTGATTGCCTCCTGTTTCCCATGCCTGTCTATCGTGAAGTTTTGGACAGATCATTCCGTCTGTGGTTGTCTTGGACATATCATGCGGAAGCCTGAGAAATTGCTCTGTTTATCTTAAAGCCTTGGACAGATAGTCAAGGAAGCCTCCGAAGTATTACTGTCCTGTCGAGAAGTCTTGGACAAATCCGCAGTAGTTCCAACTATCGTAAGCCTTGGACAGATAACTATGGATCCTCCGAAGTGGTTACGCCCATTGAAAAAAAAAAATTGTACTTCAACCTCAGGGGCCGTCACAGGTTTAAACATGTTATAAGATACATACATTCCAGGTTAAAACAGAGGAGAGACGTTCTGAGTTACAGTACTATGAGGAAGGAGAGACGATGAACCGCACTCACTGATATGAACAAAATAAACGCCACATCCTCGTGTAAGAGAATAAATAGAATGTCTTGGTGGTTGCTAGACACGGTTAAACGGTTCAACGCAAAGCTCTTTACCACTTGACGCAATTTAGGGAACTAGATGTATTTCAGTCCGAGAAAGGTAGACCCGTATCCCATAACCCCAGCACCCTCTACCTCATAGTATATGAACCTCCAGACCCTCAAGAGGCAGAGGAGCTGCAGCTACATCCTGTGGAGAGGCCCAGGAGCTATAGCTCATCCCTCAAAAGAGGTCAAAGAATTGAAGATCAAAACACTAAGGGACTGTTGCGTATGGAGGGGCAAGAATGTTTCACTGATTAAATCTTGTGGTCCACAGTACAGATGTTGGAGAGGAGTCTCCTCCTTCTTCCTCTACTGAGGAAAGTAGATGGAATCCAGGACGGGGTGGCCCTGGCTTGGATACTGAGGATTATAGTGCAGTCCCAGAACCTGCAGAAATTGACAACACACCTCCCAACAATTCTCAACCAAAATCTGCACAATCCAGGGCAACATGGGTTCAGGGCAGGTCGCTCCTGCCTCTCAACTACTGGATCACTATGATATGGCCTTGGATGCACTGGAAGAAAATCAGAATGCAGATGTAATATACACAAACTTTGCAAAAGCATTTGACAAATGCGATCATGGCGTAATAGCCCATAAAATACGTGCTAAAGGAATAACTGGGAAAGTGGGGAGATGGATCTTCAACTTCCTAACAAATCGAACACAAAGAGTAGTGGTCAACAGAGTTAAATCAGAGGCTGCCATAGTGAAGAGCTCTGTTCCACAAGGCACAGTACTCGCCCCCACCTTATTCCTTATCCTCATATCAGACATAGACAGAGATATACATCACCTTCTCCAGGTAAACAGCACCGTATCATCCTTTGCGGATGATACTAGGATCTACATGAGGCTGTCATCTGCTGAGAACGCGGTTAACCTCCAAGAAGAAATAAACAAAGTTTTCCAGTGGGCAACGGTAAACAATATAATGTTCAATGAGAACAAATTCTAACTACTCCGTTATGGAAAACTGGAGGAGATAATAACTAGAACAGAGTATACTACAGACTCTGGCCATACAATAGAGCGGAAAAATAATGTAAGGGACCTGGAGTTTATCTGGAGAGTTTATCTGGAGAGAGTTCCGGGGGTCAACGCCCCCGCGGCCCGGTCTGTGACCAGGCCTCCTTAGGTCAGTGTCCCAGGATGCGACCCACACCAGTCGACTAACACCCAGGTACCCATTTTACTGATGGGGAACATAGACAACAGGTGGAAAGAAACACGTCCAATGTTTCTACTCTGGCTGGGAATCGAACCCAGGCCCTCACCGTGTGAAGCGAGAGCGTTAACCACCAGGCCACCAGAGCCTGGGAGTAGTAATGTCTGAGGATCTCACTTTCAAGGATCACAACGGTGCCACGATCGCACGTGCAAAGAAAATGATAGGATGGATAATGAGAACGTTCAAAACGAGAGATGCCAAGCCAATGATGGTCCTTTTCAAATCACTTGTTCTCTCTAGGCTGGAATACTGCTGTACATTAACTTCGCCATTCAAAGCAGGTGAAATCGCAGATCTAGAGAGTGTACAGAGATCCTTTACTGCACGTATAAGTTCTGCCAAGCACCTTAACTACTGGGAACGCTTGGAAGCACTTGACTTGTACTCGTTGGAACGCAGGAGGGAGAGATATATCATAATCTACACTTGGAAAATCTTGGAAGGAATGGTTCCAAATCTGCACACAGAAATCACTCCCTACGAAAGTAAAAGACTGGGCAGGCGATGCAAAATGCCCCCAATGAAAAGTAGGGGCGCCATTGGTACACTAAGGGAAAACACCATAAGCGTCCGGGGCCCAAGACTGTTCAACAGCCTCCCATCAAGCATTAGGGGAATTGCCAATAAACCCCTGGCTGCCTTCAAGAGAGAGCTGGACAGATACCTAAAGTCAGTGCCGGATCAGCCGAGCTGTGGCTCGTACGTTGGACTGCGTGCCGCCAGCAGTAACAGCCTAGTTGATCAGGCCCTGATCCATCAGGAGGCCTGGTCATGGACCGGGCCGCGGGGGCGTTATTATTATTATAATCAAAAAGAAGCGCTAAGCCACAAGGGCTATACAGCCGCGGGGGCGTTGATCCCCGGAATAACCTCCAGGTCTAGGGGAAAATTCCAATGGCAACAAGGTGTAGTGTGGCAAATATAACCTTAGCGGAGAGGCTTTCTTTGTTAACCTTCTTACTTTCTTTAGGATAACCAAAACTCACAAGTAAAATCCTTGTCTTTAATAGTAATAAAACTTGGATCTTCGTATCTCTATGAACCATAAAAAGCATGAAATTATTTATTTCCCTTTACACATACAAGGTAGAATTTACGTTGCTAACACAACTCATACCAAGGTCGTCACAGAGACATTAAAGCCAAATAATCCATACAGGAAGTTTCATCACTATTCCCATGCAAGGGATCTGAATATGAATAGAGAACTCTAGAAAACAAGAGAGATCAGACTAAGCGTGAGAGTACAAGGCCAAGTGCTACTCTGGAGTGAGTGGGTGAACCTACTGCCAGTGCTATGGACGGGTAATCCGACGTAAGGTGGGATCACGTGACTTAGGGGAAGGTAGACAAGTTGGTGACTGGTAACCACCACTCTAACTAGTAGTTTCCCACTACATGAAAATCACATACTTAAT